TATATGCCTTGTTAGCCGTACCCGTGTCCCCTATTTCAGTATTGCCGTTTTTCCGTGTCCGTGTCGGTATCCATGCAACGTAGATCATAATTCTTAATTTTGCGACTTTAATCTATTTGTTTATTTTCCTTACTTTACTTTTCTGCTTTAAATATTCATTAAATATTTCTTAGACTCGTTGAAAAAAAAAGACAAATAAAGATAAAAAAAGAAAGGTAAAATAGAGAGAAAATTAGAGAGTAATATGAAGGAAAATTCAAGATCATGCATAAGAATTATATGTTCGGAATTACATCGAGCATTCATTTTTGGCAATATATAATATTGTACAAATAAAAATGCTTTACAATTAACAAGTCAATTTTAACTATATTTGAGACATTAAATTCTACTATTTTCAATTTTGAGATTTCTAATCAATGTACTCCTATATATATATATATATATATATATATATATATATATATATATATATATATATTTGTTATTATTTTTCACTAGTCTTAGGTTTATGGGCATGGAGGGAAGAACTTTTATTTTTGAGGCAGTGAAGGGAAGAAGTATTTGGTATCAAATAAGTATTAACAACAAATTTTTATTTTGAAAAAGTTAAAAACTATTTTTGAAAAAGTTAAAACTTAAAAAAAAAAAAAATTAACCACTTGCCCCGGAAAGAAAAAAAGGTTCAAATGTCATGACTTGTTATCTTTTATACCAATTTGTCATAACCTGTTAACTTTTATACTAATTTATCGCCGATGATAAGTTTTATACCAATGTGGTGCAATGTGCTAACTTTTATACAAATCTGGTTAACTGACCTTATATGTTGGGTCTTTAATCTAGTTAACCTCTTATATCCTAGTCCTATTACAATTTAGGAATGTAATCATTGTTTTCTAACCTATTTAGGATTGCTTGTAATTGATTATATAGTCATGTCATGCCTCTATAAGGGTTGATCACATTGATTATTGTATCTTTTAAATTTGTCATACCATAACTCTTTTTTTGTGCTTTAGATTGGTCCAACAATCGGTTCATTTGAGTCGAATACGGGACGGGTCATTAGATAATTTGGCTAGGTTTTGGTTTTGGGTCGAGTCAAGTTCCGGTCGGGTCAATTTTCGGGTCCATACTGTTTAGGGTAAAAATACCCTTCTCTACGTGTACCAATAATATGCTACCACACTGATCTATCAGAAGCTGACACATGTCTCTTGGTTTTGCCTAATGCAATGAATCATAGTCCAACACGTTGCAACAAGAAAAACACCTAAGGACTGAAGGTATCCTAAATGTATGAAAAGCCTAAATTCCGAAAATTGTGCCATAACGGCGCAAACATGGAAAACGTCTCTCTCACGCATTAGGCAGCCAATCAGCGCACATGTTTTTAGGGTACATAATACTAGGGGCACGCACTCCAACCCAAATAAATACCCAATCATTTATGATGAGAGAGGTGATTGAGACTAGAGCATTCAAGGTATTATAGCTGAAAGCTCTAAATTTTCTCTACTTTCTTTCCCTAGACTTTCCGTTTTCGGTTACTAACTTAATTGTTGAAAGCGAATATTCCAATAAACGGAATATTTGTGGTTTTGCAGGTGTCCAAGCCCAGAGAGTTGCATTGAAGATCTGTTTTCCGAGGGACATTCCAAAAATCCCTAAAACACATACGTCAAGTCATTTTCGGGCCGAGTCAAGATCAATCAGGTCAAATTCGGATCGTTCCATTTCGGCTCGTCGGTACTTTGAGCCAAGCTCAAATCGGTAAATTTATTATTGTTATTGTTATAATTATTAGTGTTTCTTTAGGAAATTATTACAAGACTTTTAATATTATTGTCATTGTTGTCATCATTATTACAAGACTATTGTTATAATAATTATATATTAGATTCTATTCTAACATTTAATTGCTTGGGAGACTCGAAAACTCATGGTGATTGTTGCACTTGTAAAACAGAGGGAGTATTTCTTGAAACCTGTGAAAATCTTTTATGGTGCAATTAGATCACTTTCATATATTATAACTTTATAAGACAACTAGTTTGTATATAAACAATGTTATCCTTTTGATCTTGGGTATATGTCATTAGTAGCCATATGTAGGCGTCGTGCCAAATTTACCTACTAGTTTAGGAGGTTAGAATTAACATATACGATTGGGACAAGGGATAAAGTAGGAAGCCGCCAACAAGTTTTTAAGGAGCTTGTAAACCTGATGAGTGTCATTTATGACACTCATTTGATGAGTTTTTAGTCGTTTTTACCTTCTTTTTATAGCTTTCTTTCCTAATAAATGCTTAGTTTTGTTCATTTGTTCATTAGTTTCTTTATTTTTGCTTATTTTGTGTTTTCGTTCACTTTTGTGGTTCTTTTCGTATTTTCTCCTTTATTTGTTCTATTCTCGTGGTTGTAGGTTTTATATGAGGCTCGAGTCTTGATAATGGTGGCTTATCAAGTTGGAAGACGCCTTTGGTGCAAGCTTATAGCATTTGGATAGCTCATGAAGCAAGTGATGGCTAACTCCAAGACTTAATGGCTGCGCTCTCATAAAATTTCGATGTTGAACCCACTATAAAATGCATTTTGAAACTACCATGATTAGTGACTATCATGAGGGGCGCACTCTTCATACATTGCACGCACCGAAGAAGTGTCCTGCTCTAGGTAGCGTAGGCGCGCCACCAAGGGTCATTCCGTACTCAGTTTATTGCGTGCGCGTTGGATGTGGAGAGGGCGCGTAACCTACCTTACGTGGGCGCGCAACCCTGCTCCTGGGTCCGTTTCGAGCTTGTTTTCCCGCCTCTTATAAATACTTTAATACCCGATTTTTGTAATAAGTTTTTACACATATTTTTCTTCATAATTAGGCTTAGGTTGAGAGTTTCTCTCTCTAGATAGGCCTCATCACTCTAGCTGGCCGACCATGAGGGTGGTTTGTAGGGTTATTGGGCTTTCTAACCTAGTCTAATTATAATAGGATTATAAATAGACTAGGTGCCTAGGTTTTTTATAGAACAATTTCACTGGAAAGTTGAAACCCTAAGTAGCAAACACGAAACCAAGCCTCTCAAACCTCCCTCTCTCTTACGGCTCTCTCCTCCCCTTAGGCACCGGTTGTGTGCTCGTGGTGGTGGTGTTCGTGTGGTGGTCGGTTGTCCAAGGAAGGTGGTGATTGCGGTTTCCCTTTCACTTGACCAATCTAGAATTGGTGGACGTTTGATCAAATCCCGTGGACTAAGTAGAGGAGTCACTCTTGGGGCTCTATTCTTTCCCTGATTTGCCAATCAAATAGCTACGTGGAATTCACACTTCAAAGGTATAATTATGTGATTCTCATGTGTTATGCATGTGATCCTGATTTAGGTGCGTATGTATATGATTAATGAAATTTCGCTTAAAGTACCTAAAGTCCTACAGATCCCACAACCTCTTAGTTGTGAGATGCAAACTTGACCACTAGACCAAGCTATATGCTTGGTTATTCAAATAAATATATGGGTATAATTATTAAGAAAAAAAAATGAAAGGAATACTGTATTTTACATTAAAAAAAAAGGGAAAAAAGAAAGAAAGAAAATGGCTAACTTTAACCATAGCTCTATCTTATTTGGTATAAATCATTCAGCAAAATAATGTATATAAAAAGTTTTTTTTACGGTTGTGATTATTACTAAACAGAAAGAGTATAAGTTAAGAAAATTCCATGTGATTTTCAGATTCATTATGGTGATATATTTAGACTTAGTCATGTTGGTTGTATCTGGAAATACCTTTGAAAAGGAGACATTTTGGAAGTTGGCAATACCCAATTAAGCCAATCAGCAATTCATTATGTTTACGATACCATAGAAAATCAAGCTGACGTGCTACACATCTCGGGTGCAATAAGATTGATGTGGCATCCTTGTCTAGTTGAAAACTAAAGGATTGATATGAATAAGATAATACCAAACTTTCGTATCTGATAAATACACATGATGAAACTACCAAAGATACCGGATATTAGATATGTGTGAAACGAAATCTCATCAAAAATACGACGTATTATTCTTCCATCACCCAAATATTGCACTATCGAGTATATATGTAGCTAAATGCCTAAATGTACATGATTTACCTTAATTATTTTAAACATATAATAATAAAGATTTTAAAAAGGTGATATTTGTATTTCCAGCAACTTTTTGTTGCGGCAGGGATTATCCGAATTATTTTGTTAGGGGTTACTCGAATTATTCAGTCAAGGAGTTACTCGGTTAGGGGTTAGTTGAGGGGTTACTCGAGGGGTTCACTCGGTCAAGAGTTACTTGAGGGGTTACTCGAGTTACTCGGACAAGGGTTACTCGGTTAGGGATTACTCGGTCATGAGTTACTCGAGTTACTCGGTTAGGGGTTACTCGAGTTACTCGTTTAGGAGTTATTTAAGGAGTTCGTCAGGGGTTACTCGAGTAATTCGTTCAGGGTTTACTTAAGGAGTTCGGTCCGGGGTTATTTAAGAGGTTACTCGGTCAGGAGTAACTCAAGTAACCCATGACCGAGTCACTTGAGTAACCTCAGCTACTCGAGTAACCCTGACCGAGCAATTCGAGTAACCCCGACAAGTCGAGTAACCCTTAATCGAGAAAATCGAGTGACCCCAGCAACTCGAGTAGCCCCTGATCGAGTAACTCGAGTAACCCTTGCCGCATAGTACAGCAGGCCGCAATACTCACACTTGCACTAACAATCTCCCCCTCGAACTTATAAACTCCTCCTTGAACACAAACATACTCAGAACCTATAAAGCCTAGCTCTTAGGCAAGGTGACACACACAAATGGTCCTTTACGCCTTAAGTCCGAGCACAGATGGTGCTCCTATGCAGCCATATCAAACCTAGCTGTGATAATATCTTAGAGGACTAACTTAACTAAAATTTTAAACTGAGATCGGTACTAATATGAGTATTAAGTAAAAAAAATAATGAAAAATAGGTTTATTAATTAAAAATGAAAGGGAGAGATACGAAGGATGATAGGATGTACACAAGTGGTAGAAGTACAAAGCAATAAATAGTCGCTCATGTACAACGGTTGGGCTATTAAATTGGCGCACTTTGATTTGTCTTAGTCTTTTGCCCAAAAACACAGAGCCTACCTTACAATCTATTCAAATTTTCCAAACTTGCGAGTTTTAACGAAACACAAACATGATGAAGAATACCTTTTCCCTTCGCAAATTCATCCATTCTTCCAGACACATCTCTCTTCCATTAAAGGTTGGTTCTTTTAACCTCTTTTTTTTTTAATTATTAATTATTAATTTTTCACGGATTTTTTCACAGAAATTTAATTTTGATTTATATTCTCCATTTTTTTTTTTAATCTGTATTCATCTTAATTGAAAGAATTGTAGCCAATTTTTTGTTTCCCGTTGATCTGGTAGACTCCTCATTCGTATTGTGTTGTGCAGTAATGTTAATGGTGAATTGAAAAAATTGCAATTTAAATGGAAAAAAAATAACGTTGAACGAATTCAATTAATTTTTGTACTGATGATATAGAAAATTTTGCTCTGTTTTCTGTGACATTATATCTAAATTTGATTATAAATCATGTGAATATATTATAGAAAAGAAAAACAAAATTGCAACACCTTGTGTATTATTTTAAATAGATAAATTTTACTCCATAGAAAAATGTTTTCTTGGAGCTAAAATGAGACGAAGAGAGTATAAGTTGGTTTCATGGTTTAGTATAGTTATGCTAACAAACAAAGTTTTAAACTTGTACATAAACTTTGCACGAAGTATAACATACCCCACCCACATAAAAGGACATAACCTCCGCACGAGCCACACTATGATAACATTCTAAACTTATTAGAGAAAGAGGGAAAAAAAAATCCTTAATAAGTATATCCCTTTGTTTATTTTTATTTCTGTAAATTTTTTGTGCATTTGGGCTTAGTAGAATAGTTGATTTTAATCCGATTTGAATTACTTATTAATCTAATAGTATGGGAAGTTGGGAACCAATTTAAAGTTGGACCATAGGTTAATTATTGAGGATTCCGACCTGGTATGATATAAGTTTTAGAATTTCCTCTCGCATGCGGACTTGTGCTTCCTTGAATATAACGACAGTGCACAACTGTTAGTGACATTGTACCAAACTATTGGGTTAAGCTGTTTTATACTCTATTCGTTTTAAAATAATCTTTCTGTAATTTTGACATGTTTTTTTAAGCGATTTCATAATTCCTAAGAATTTAATAATTCATATGAGACATTTATATGCTTATCATACAGTTTCAATTTATAGAGAATAGTCACGAACTCGAAATTTTGTAAGTTTGACAAATTTCATACATAGGTACAAGTAAAAAGAAAGTCAATCTTATCAATTATTTGCAAGAACACAGGATGAGAATAATAATTTCATGATCAATCAATTTAAAAAGAAAATTAAAACTTATCGTTACTTGTAAAAGAAGAAATAAGTAAGGTTGTAATCTTGGCCTTTTATGCTAAAAGATGAGTACGTGTCAAGTAAATCCTTTTCTTGGCTTACTTGTCAAAAATTGTAACAACCTCTATAATATATGTACAACGTTTAATGGGACCAATTTAATGGTGCATACTCTGAAATTGACTAATGTATCAAAGACCAACTTCATAGTCACCTACAACTTTTTAGAGTTTTAGTCCTTTGTTATTAAATAATACTCGATTTCTTGTACTCTTTTTGATGCGTAAGGTCACCTAACACACTAAATAAGAAAATTTGACAAACCGAATTTATTTATTTATATTTTTTTTTGTTTATTAATTGACATGTGAAATATACATATTTTATGATCAATTAATATTGTTAATTTAATTCACTCTGTGATTATTAAGAAGAAGAAAAAACTCAAGATTTGGTAATTTTTTTTTTGAGAAATAATCAAATTAGAGCTCTATTTATATACTTTATCCATTCTCTTTTCATAAGATTAACAAAACTCCGACATGATGATTCTGTATGTTAAAATGTCTTAAATTAGATTATGTGGTTAAAATTTATAAACTTTGAACCACATGATAATATAACGTATTAAAGGAAATGGAAGAAATATACTCCAACAAAATTAATAACACATTAGGCCTTATTTATGTAATTTATTTTTCATGAAAAATAAATTAAGATGAATTCAAAAAAAATTTAATAAGTTTTTATATAAGTGGTGGTAATAAGTTTCCATTGAATTTTTTTTTGAATTTTCTAAGTTATAACTTATAATCATGGTCAAAGCAATCGAATTTTCCCATTAAAAAAAAAAGGATGCAGGTAAGGAAACTTATTATTTTTAATATACTACTACCATTTTCTTCATTTTTATTATTTAAATTAAACAAGATTGGATTCACATGTGTCACGAAGTACATCCACTTGATAATAATTCAACACGTGAACAGGGTCAACGACTTATATCACCAGTTCACCGACACCTAATTACTTTCCCAATATAGTAATAGACTAATAGTAGTAATGTCATCCATATTGTTTTGTCACCTTTTTTAGAAGCTCTAAATTTGTTACGAGTAGTTGTGAAGTTTGGCCTTGTTAACTTTTCATGACATTAATTAATTAATTAATACTTTAGCATGTGATAATGACTATCTTATTACCCAATTTATAAATGCAGCTTTTGAAGCTTGAAAGTCAACATTTCTACACCTCTCAGGCAGCTTCACCAGCTTACAGGTATATTAAATAACCTATGTTTGATCAAGTCAATTGTGACTATTATGTGAACATAAAATAAATATAGAATATATGAATAAAATGTGTAACAAAATTTAAATGGAACTTAGAATGTTGATTGCTGAATGTATAATAGTACTTTTATATCATATAACATGTAAATTTTGTTAGGTTAAACCAGTAGAAGTTTGTAATTGAAGTTTTACTCTTAGGGAATCTAAACATGGGAAATTTTAGAATCAATTCAAACCACCTCACTTGTTCTCACTTCCCATGAACTTTTGTTCCCCGTTTTTCTTAATATTAACCAAACAAGAACTTTTCTGACATAATAAGCAGACAATAAGGCATATAAATACGTGGACAAAAAAGGAATATGAGACCGTCCTTGAGAGGAGGAAGTACTAATGCAGTATTGTTATGCATTTGCAAATACATAACAAAAACTAAAATATTAAAATCACATGGAAAAGAGGGAAAGGTGGAGAAAGAAAGGTGAATGAGACCACTTTTAATTGTACCATTGAAAGCTTATATAATACCATTGGTTATTTATGCACGTACAGTGGCAGATCCAGGATTTTATGGATATTGGGTCACCGCCAACCATCGACCGCTTAGTTTTTCCAAATCCAAACCCTTAAAGCGGGAGGTTAAATACTGCAAGGCAATCAACAGTCCAAGATAATTTAACTGAGTAATTGCATATTTATTTATCACAGCTAGTAAAATTGAACAAAGAGCATACCCAATCACAAGACTACTATTTGTCAAAAAAAAATTACAAGACTACTAGTTGCATAATATTGCTTTGTAACCTCTTGGTCACAAAATTTCACCTAATTTGGGTAAAAAATTGTCAGATTTCTACAAAATTTGATACTCAGTATACCCAGATGAAATTTCTTGTTCTGATTGACAAAATACAACATTGGGATTAATGGGTAGATCTAAATTGCAAAAAATCACAATCATATTTGACAAACAAAATTTGAAATACTCTTACAAGACTTGGTTAATCAAAGAACATCCCTCAGTACCTTTATAATACTACCCATAGTAGTATTGCATAAGATAATTTAAATTAGTTAATTGATGTATATAATAATATACATGTATGTACAAAATAAAATGTGAGGAAAAAAAAAATACATAAAGTGTTTGGTTTAGGACTTGATCCCGGTCCAACTTAGTAAGAAATGTCACTTAAAGCTTGCAACCACTGAACCATAGAGAAGAATGTGTAATATAAAGGATTTCAATTTTCTTTTAACCTTTAAATTTTCCTGGGTCACGTGTGTGCACGTAGTTAATACTACTGAATGCATATATAGTACTACTACATATATACATAGTAACACTGAATATTCAACGATACTATTTGATTTCCTAATGGTACTATTGATCACTCAATGATACTACTCTAAAGTCAGAATATACATAACAATACTCCCTTTAAACTCCCTCTCTTTGAGAGATGAAGTGCTTTTAGCATACTAGCTTTCATCTACAACTTCCCTGTGATGTGCTTCCTCAGATTTGGGGTGAAATATTATCTCTATTGTTTTTTTAAAAAAAAGCCTCTACACCATTTTGGATGCTATTTATTCCTTGTAAACTCTAAATTAAGTTCGATGTAACTTGAAAGAATTTCAGCTAGCTTGGCTATTATATTGTGCACTGTTCTGCATATTATTCTTCTATTTCTGACCTGACATAATCACTGGATCTTCCTCCCATTTGGATTCCGTTGACAGCCAAGTTTGTAGTGATGACGAATATGCAGATATTGACTGGGACTCTATTGGATTTGGCCTCACACCCACTGATTACATGTATGTGACGAAAACTAGTCAGCAGGATGATGGGTTTACTGAAGGACAACTTAAACAATATGGAAATATTGAATTGAGCCCTTCTGCTGGGGTCTTGAATTATGGACAGGTGAGTCAGTGAGTTATCTATTCTTGTTTAGCAGGCTCAAACTGTAAACATTCATCCTGTAAACGAATCTATAAACTACCTCTATATCCTCTCCAATTCATAATATACATAATATTTCATCTTCAGGATGTTTAAAAAAAAAATCCTATGTTTTTTTTTTTTTTTTTTAAGTTCGTTAAACCTTGCATTAGTTGCATAGGCAGCTAAAGATTATAGTAGTACTATGGCTGCAAACTTACCTATTATAGCTCGAGTGGTCAACAATTAGCATCATCAATTCATCATTTTGATCCTTAGCAAATTAATTTTTCACATCCCACTGGATATACCTAAAGATAGATCTTCTGTGAGTTCTGTCAGTATATAATTCTAGATGTATGGTCATTGCTAGTGTGACTTTCAACATAATTTTTTTCGGACCCCCTAAAATGGCTTAAAGCCTAAGCATCTCAGTTTGTTAATTTACGATGTTTGAATTCTAATTTGTAGTTTCTGTTTTTCATTAAAATTTTCTTGCAATATGCATGCTTGGATTTCTTCTTCTGATATAATTCAAGTATATAAGTAAGAGTTTGATCAACTTAGGAAATGGTTTAAACCTTTCACTCTCAAAAGAACCAGCCTAACTAAAGGAGTCTTCTTTCCTATCTTTTAGTACATGTAACATGTGCTACGATGGTGGATTACATAGAACTATACAAACCCTAAGCAACCTTTATAGTTTGAACTTAAACTTTTTTTTTTTTCCCTAACAATTTAGAACAGAGCCCTGTAATTAGGCATATACAACATGTTAACAGTTCAGTTTACAGAGTATTGAAAGAACAAATGAAGTATTCTTCGTACTGTGTAAGGCAACTGACGGTAGTGCTTTCATTTTTTTTCCAAAGGGCTTATTTGAAGGAATGAAGGCAATTAGGAGAGAAGATGGGCAAATTGTCTTATTTCGCCCTGATGAAAACGCCCTCCGAATGAAAGTAGGTGCTGAAAGAATGTGCATGCCTTCCCCTACGACCACTCAATTCATTGATGCTGTGAAGCAAACTACTCTTGCAAACAAGCGCTGGGTATATAACTCTTAATTCACCCATGTTCTGAGATTTCCTTGACTATGTTGATCTTATCAAATATTTCTATCATTCGAATTCCATTCATAGATTTTCTTGTGCATAATGTAATAGATACCTCCTCCTGGAAAGGGATCCCTCTACATGAGGCCTATGCTCCTAGGAACTGGACCAATCCTCGGGCTGGGTCCTGCTCCTGAATACATGTTTCTCGTCTATGCTTCTCCAGTTCGCAACTATTTCAAAGTAAGTTTCTTTCTGATTCTAACTACCAGTTGATGTTACTTAGAGAATTTACTAAATTATAGTGGTTTAATCTTCGTTCTCAGGAAGGTAGTGCCCCATTGAGTTTGTATGTTGAACAAGAATTTGATCGTGCTTCTCGTGGTGGAACTGGTGGAATAAAAACAATCAGCAACTATGGACCCGTAAGCAAATTAGTTTTTATCCTAATAGTCATTAGAAATTTTCATTTATACTGTAATAGCCATATATAAAGGGAATGTTTATATCATTTACCAGGCTTTGAGACCACTAGTTAAGGCAAAAAGCAAAGGATTCTCTGATGTTCTATACCTCGATTCTGTGGATGGGAAGTACGTTGAGGAAGTCTCCTCTTGTAACATCTTTATGGTAAAGGTAATACTTCTAGAAAACTAGTTTGATTACATTTTCATGTCATTGAAGATATTGCGGGAAAGAACTCAATGAAGCACGGTTCTTCTAAATTGATGATATACTTTTCATACTCTCAGGGAAACACAATCTCAACTCCCCCCATAAAAGGTACTATACTCCCAGGTGTTACAAGAAAAAGCATCATTGAAATAGCCCGCGATCTTGGCTACAATGTAAGTCGATTACACCTATTTGGCCATTTGTAGACTGCTGTCTAAAATAATGTTATAACTTGCTATAAATATACTGATAGGTTGAGGAAAGGCCAGTCCCTGTCGAGGAATTGCTTGAAGCTGATGAAGTTTTCGGTACAGGAACCGCTGTGGGTGTTGCCCCTGTGGGCTGTATAACACACAATAGTCGAAGGTATGTAGACATGATCCAAACCCGATTATTCATCATTTCAAATGAATGCAACCTTAAATTAATAGTAATTAATTCTATCCAAACGAGCTATTTTCCACCTCTATATATATGATGGAATGTAGTACCAATGATATATAGTATCGAAACAACACAACTTAGAAAAATTTAATGATGTATGGCACCATGCTAATTGTAAATGTATTTGACAAATACAGGGTAGAATACAGGACAGGTGATAATTCGGTATCGAAGAGATTGTTGTCAACATATATGGCAATTCAAAATGGTTTATTGGAGGACAAGAAAGGTTGGATAGTTGAACTTAGCTAGGGCTTTACAGTTTTAGAAAATATGTATAATTCGATTGTTTTGATTGCTCGGTTAAGTTGATTCATTTTAGAAGGAGTGTTTGCAAATTGTAAAACATGCAAAATGATGCATGTCATTATGTAAGTGAACTAATGATTAGTGTACTTAATTAAATCATGTTGACGACGAAATGCAATTTATTCTCATAAAAATTTGCAATAAACGAGTGTTCTAGTAGCGGCCTTTTCATTATATTTCTCTACATCCATGGTCCTCACTCTAGTACTTTCCATACTTTCTGACTTCACTAATCATAGTTCCCCCCAAAAAGATGTGCTTCATATTTTTTAACAAATCCAACTAGATTTGATGCATTTTATAAAAGCGAAGGGACAAAGCATTTTCATATAGTACGTATTAAAGGTCAAATTTATGCACTGTTAAATTCTGTCAATTATTTTAAACTAAATTGAGTATTTTGGAACAAAAATTGTGGGCAAAATGAACTATTACTAAAAAGACAAATGATGTATGAAATGAAATACTAATAGTAATGTTATCTCTTTATCTAAATAATGGTGCAACACTTTAACTAGCCCACGTGTCAATGCACATTGGTCATTAATATCTATTGTATAGGGTAGCTCCCACTGAGCTACCCGCACTCCTAGCATTACTTGAAGGGTGCGCACTCGTGTCAGTCCAGTCCAAGGCAAGGGAAAACCTCCCAGGGGCTCAGCCTTGATGCTGAGCCCCAGAGGGCTCCATCTCAGAGTTAGGGATAATCTCCTAGGGGCTCAGCACCAGGGCTGGCCTCAGCAGGCTCCAGCCTGCAGCACCAAGAATAGAACAACTATAAATAGTAACCCAAGTACAATGAAAAAAAAGGTTAGACACATACATTTCATCACTTATCCATTATTATTCACAAAAAGCCTTATTAACTTAGGCATCGAAGGAGGGTTCCCTGAAACCACCCCCAGGGCATAACCACTGTTATTGTGCTGGTAACTCCTGATCGACATCCAGGCCTGACCCCCAGCAAGGCTCTGGAACTACACCCGGAACAATTGGCGCTAGATGGAGGGGATAGTTTTAATACCTTAGCTAAAGCTTGTTTGAAGTCGGGAAATCCGCCATGATGGGGGAAAAGCCAGACCCGACGATTAAAACATTAATAATTGATAGTACCCAAACACCACAAAATAAATCCGATCACGCAAAAATAACCGCAAAATCAACTCCGATCAATACCCATAACCCAAATCATGTTGGAACTTCTTCCGGCATCACCAAAAACACAAATGGAGCTCATAAACCAATCGGACCATCTCAAACAGTTCGATTCGGAATGTCGTTCACGAACCAAAACAACGAGGTGATTACTCAAACACCGACGGGAAAGTTCCAGGCAGTGCAAACACCAGAGGTGCTGCAGAATTTGTCCTAGTGCAGCAAGGATCAACTGGCTTCCATGATAGTTGTGCTGAACTCATTTGGAAAAGGATCGAGGTCCACTCGTTCGTAGGCATCTGTTGGGCAGACTCTTATTAAGTCACTTGTACATAGTCTGACTCCAAAGTAGAAAGTGTTGGCAGCCCTGAGGAAGAAAGTGAAAGAGTTGGAGGCCAGAAACTTAAATAGAGTACGAAGCTCATGAAAGGAATGGTGTCCTTCCAACAAGTGTATTATTCTGATAGAGGGTTCAGAATTATCAGGAAGCTAATTCTTCAGTGAGATCAAGTGATCGGAATGCCTGGGTGGAGGCCGCTTCCGATCTGTAATATTAGTGAACAATTAATATTACAACTTTGTCTTGACTGAACCCTTCGGGTCGAACCCAAACGAACTGCCGATCCGAACCGACGAATCAATTCGAAGGATTTGATGTGTCACTAGAGTATTACGAACACAGACGTCAGATATCGAGCCTAGGGCGTCGAGACCGAGCGTCGCAAAATCAACAAGCAACAAGTTCGAGCAAAGTCGTAGCATCACATTGGCCTAGCCATGTGGTTGCTAGGCTAGCTCGAGCTAGCACCGCACCATCGCTAGCACTAGGTGCTTGCATGTGTGCGTGCCTTCGCATGGAAGCACCATCGTTAGCACTAGGCGCTTGCGTGTGTGCGTGCCTTCGCATGGAAGCACCATCGCTAGCACTAGGCGCTTGCGTGTGTGCGTGCTTTCGCATGGCAACACCATCGCTAGCACTACGTACTTGCGTGTGCGTGCCTTCGCGTAGCACAACATCAAGCAACAGCAGCACGCTGTGCTTGTTGTGCGTGTGTAACACCCCCAAATCTCCCTCTACGGAATATGTAGAAAATACATATAAATACCGTAGAAATAGACTTGGGCATATTGCCGCCGTGTGATAACGCCAGGCTTATACTTTAAAAATACTTTTGCAGTAGAAAATTCTTTATTCTTATTAATAAAACTTTAAATAAACTTGTTCATAATTTTTGACACAAAACAAAGTCAAACTTTTCCTAAGATAGGTGAAATTCCCGTGGGCTCCCATATGCATCAATTAACTTCCACCTGAAAAGTTCACCTGCTTACCATAAATGGTAAACAGAGCAAAGCCAAAACAGAAGTATGTATTAGCAAATTATGCAAAGTAGATTATGTGTAAGATAAGTAAAACATAATTTAAATCATTTAAGTTTGGTTCAAAGAATTCCAATGTCATACTCATGTAAGAGCTTTTCCAATTTAATGCTTTCAAGACAAGTTTAAAACTCAATCGATTACGTTCCAAAACCATTTCCTCACTAAGTGTGCACACCCCCCAAGTGGTTTACTTTATGAACAAAGGCCAATCTTGAGGAAAGACTAGGTCATGCAAAGTCCATAGTCTTCTCTAATCCATTCCCTAAGTGGGATTCACAACCATATCGATTGATTTACTTAAAAGCACCTTTTAAAAATCCATCATTCTTGAATATTAAGAAACCTGTAAATCAATTTTAATCCAATCCTTTTTAATAATTTTAATCATAATTCAAAGTCTATTTTGATTAACCAAAAATCATTAATTCAAACCATCATGAAACATAATTTTATAAGGAACATAATAAGATACAATTTCATGGACAACTTTCGAAGGTATCAAACCACATAACGTACCTTAATTTCGAATATCAATCAACACTTCGCACTTTCAAAGTTCAATCACGAATACACCTTGCAATTAACATAACCATACGGTTATCACAACATCTTTAGACATAAACCCAAATCTAATGTGCATGGACTATAAAAATCTTTTAAAAATAATACTTTAATATAAAATTATAATTGTGAAATAGGTAATTATATTTTAGAAAACTAACCATGAAGAAAATAAAGGAATAGGATTAAAGGAAATTGAATTTGCGTTGGAAAGGATAGGCAGACCTTGCAGAGGTCATAACTCCTTTGATATAACTCCGAATTGGGTGATTCGTGAGCCTAACCTCAAGGATGTTTTGAGAGGAATAAGTTTTTGAGAAATAGAAAAATCCAAAAAATGACCAGAAGTTCCTGAAAATTGGCTCCAAAGATATACGGGCAGATTTTCTTTTAGAAAAGAGGAAAAGAAAAATAGGAAAAGTTTGAGGGAAAAGAAGAGTAAAAGAAAAGAAGGGAATTGAGTTTTTGGTGTGAAGAATATGAGAGGTATGAGGGGGTATTTATAGGTGTTTAGGTGATGAGTTTATAGCAATTTAGGATTGTATAATTTATGGAAATTTCAAAAAATAGAAATTAGGGTTTTAAATGTATGGAAGGATATTCGATTTTATTTGGTCATGAAATTTTGTTTATTAGGTTTTGAGCTTGGAGTGAAAGTATAGAATAAGATCAAATAATTTTTAGATTTAAGAGTAGAAATGAGGAATTTTAAAGGATTTTTTATTTTTAATAAAATAAATTAAAATCATTTAGAAAATTCATGAGTGGCCGAAAATATTGAGCTTAATATTGCTCAATAATTTCGGTCCCTCTATGTTAATTTATGGATTTTGTAAAAAAATTTATTTTCCTAAAATTAATAATCCAATAAAATTTATTTTGTGAAAATTAATACTTGAAAGAATAAAATTAGATTTTTATTAAATAATTGGGGTGGCCGAAAATTTGACTTATAATAATTAATTAAATCAGATTTTTATTATATAAAATCTGAAAATTAATTCTTTAAAAATATATTTCATGAAAATAATTAATTTGGAAGGATATTAAAACAATTTAGATTTTTATTCTATGAAAACCGAAAATACAATTTAATTAATCTACCGAATTTATATAATTTCGGTTTAGCTATTTAATTTTGAGAAATCAAAAAAATACTATTTATTACATAAGTATAAAATAGTTTCATTTATTGGATTATCCAATTTAATTAGTTTTATAAAATAATGATTTAGGCGCCAAAATTTAAATATCATTTTGGCTCCAAAACTAAAATACTCTTTAGGAAAATAATTAGATAATACGTCAAAAATACGAGACTAAAATACTCTTTAATTTAGAAAATACCTTTCAAAAATACGGGGTATTACAGCGTGTGCCAGGGGCTAGCACCTTCCAGGCATCGCCCAGCGCCCAACACCTAGCAGCATGTGTGGCTCGCTAGTAGCACGCATGTGCTAGGCGTGCTGGCTAATGCGTGTTGCGCGTGCTAGATGTGCTGGGTTGGTTGTGCTAGCTGGCCAGCGAGGCTGGCAGCCAGCTCACTCCTTGCTTGATGCCGGTTTAAGGAGAGTGGGGATCAAGGCTTAGAGCCATGCCTTGGGGAGCAAGGCAATGGTCCCCCCATGGTTATGGTCCTCACCTAACCTCTCCTTTCCTCATGCCACTTGTTGATTGTTGATTGCATTGTTTTATAATTTATCTTTGATTTAAATAAATTAGATGAAAAATGCAACTATCCCACATTGATCATGAATGGGAGTATAAATACCCCAAGATTGGGCATTTGGAAATCAACTTGAGTGGAACTAAAAAAGGCATCTCTTATTATTGAGAAAACCTTTAAGTTCGTAAAACTCTAGTTTTATACTTGGTCAAGTCTCGACTAACCCTTGAGACGAAGATCGTTCGGGTCGGGTCGTGGGTACGAGCCGTTGGAGGCCGTCACGCTTGTGAGGCTTTAAGCTTCGAAGTAAGAGCTCGGTTTACGAGCGAAGCACGCTTCAAGGTATTACTTCTTTATCCCTTCTGTTAATTATTGTTTAATTATGTTTATGCAT